GGTTTCATTAGGTCATTTCCAAAATGGAAAAACGGTATCAGGGCAACTGGAATCCATCGATCTTGGCTGACTATTGTTGGACACTACAAGAGGCATTGGGCACTGAATACAAACAAAAATTAACACTGAAATACGTTTATCCCTCTTGAACTCATGCACAGTCAGAAACAGTAATTGGTTAAATATATTATAGCCATTAAAAGTTCATTTCATATTTCACAAGATTCCTACGTGATCCAATTATGTTGAAATTATATGGATGATTACCCCAGTCACCCACTCAATCTTTCATGCCTGAGACAAGACTATAAGTCACAGTCTCCCAGTTTCTGTTCTGACCCAAACCTTTTTCCAATAAAATAAACAATAGCCAAAGGGAACAGAAACCTTTTAATGAGTCTTACGAATCCCTGGTTAAAAGGCTGCTACAAACTAACTTTGATAAGCACAAATCTTGCCAAAACTGTACAAGACTGTCAAGAATCATGGATAAGAAATATTTCACAACACAAGAGTCTTCAAATACCAATTTAAGATACTGTAATGTCCACAAGGCTGAGTTTCAAAACGTCTTTGCTTCCTGCAAAGAATGTTCATTTCACAGCTGGCTTTTATCTTCTTGAAGGAGGAGCCATTACCTTACTCTTGAGTTGCCCATGGTGTCACAGCTGCTCTTTCCTGCGAGCAATCCTGCGTGCATGCGCACTAGGCATAGGTTCCTCGGGAACCTCGCTGCTGCCAGCCCCCACAATCTCTGAAGGCAGCAGTCCACTCCCTAATGGTCCTGGCCCCTCAACTGATTCTTCACTCTCCTCAGCCATCCGCACCTGCTGCCAGCTAACCACAACAGTTTCTCGCCTAATGCCTTAATTACTACATCAAACCACCTTTCATGAACTCAATAGAATTCACTCTCAAGTAATACTATTTAGAAGTAAATAAATATTGAGAAGTAAATAAATTATAGAATACAAATCTAAACTGTGTTGTGTTAGTGTTATGTTATATACACATACATACTTGGATTATGCTTATGGATTCTGCTGGGGGTATAGCTATAGGGTCTGTCATATTCTTTCACTCTTAAAATTTACTACTACAACCCTGATAGGTCATGAAGAAAACTTACATTAGGAGCTAATGCTTGACAAAAACTGGAAGATCTAGATAGTTTTACCCAACCCTGACCCAAAAGAGTACTTATGCTGTTTTTTCAACAGGAAAATTCAAGATTAATGGTCCCGTGACATCTAAGAAAAATATTATTGTAAAGAATCTGATTTATTGTAGCAAATACATTTGAAGGCAATAAACTTTTGTCCTGCCATTTCTTCTTCCTGTTACAAAAGCTGTCCCAATGTGGTACAAGCCAGATACATTGAATTATCATTCCACCAATTACTTTGCTATCTGAAAATGATGGGAGCTGCACTCTCAAACAGCTAAAGGTTAGAGGAAGGCCGATCTTCAACATTTATGTACTTGCATATGTACTTGAGTATGTCTAGACACACAGCCTATGATTTCATTAACTAGTAGCATCCTCTGTTTGTCAGTTAAGGAACTCCATGATGCATCATCTGGCATATTGACCCTTCTTGCTGAATGTATCCAGATTCTGCAGTGTATCTTCTATGCCATTTCCCAGTGCTCATTTTTCTATGATAGAGAGAAAGGGGAATCACTGCATTGCTGATGTTACTAGGCAACTCCAACAGTCATCACCAAACATCCAGTGCTTAATTACAGAAAGTTTAATGGCACCAGAACATAAAGTTTCCTGGAAACGTCTTTTTGATTCTAGAAACGAAACAATTATTTAAGGTCAAGGAAAACATTCGGCCGTGTATCATTACAATGGGCTATTAGTTCATAGATTCAAGAGTTTTGTTCCAAAAGCAGAATCTGGGTTGCAATTCCTTTTACTCTTTTTGATTGAATTAGCGTTTGTACCTGAGATTATTCAGAAAAATAATTTCCTTTCAGTTTCCAGAAAAGTATTATGTATGGTAGTTAGTCAAATTCAATGTTCAAAAACATATAGATCCAGATTTCTCCCCAAGGGCATATTCAAAATTGCTTATTCAGGATTGCAAGATGGTTTCTGCAGTGCATTTTAAAATTTAGAGATTGTAGTCCAATCATGCTTGGAAATTCTGAAATCAGCTCCTAGGGCAACCTTTCCCAGAAACTATCCCAGAAATGTTTTGGGACAACTCCCAGAATTCCTTGTCCTAGAACAGCTTTGTCAGAAAACTTTAGCTCAAAGGAATCTGGGGAAAATCACATTGAATGAGGTTGATATAACGATTGTTTGTAGAATTTATTTATTTATTCCATTTCTATACTTACTTATCTCAAATTGAGTCTGGATGACAAACAGGTCCTAATAATTAAATCCATGAAAACATACAGTTACAAATTACACACATAAGCAACTGAATATAATTTATTTATTTAGTACTTTAATTTATTTGGTTTGGTATGAGATTTTATTATTGACAGCCATCTTGGGAAAACTGAAAATATTTCAAAGTAAGAAAGCATTCTCTGCAAACTTTCCTTAACACAGCTACTAAAAAGATACTACAAAAGCTGATTTATAGCTTCTCTAGGTCCTCTTTGTCCTGAAACTGGGCAGTACTTTATAGTGCCCTACTAGTTGGATCCAACTACCCCTGTCCTGCAATCTACCAGATTAGAATTCTAGAAATGGGATAATTACCTCTTTACTACTAGTTGGAGTTTACATTTCATAACAAAACAGTAATCTCACTGATTAAATAATGCTCTTTTTACAACAGAGTTTTATGTTGTTAGAAGAACACCACATTTGTATGTAGTACAATAAAAAGACTTATTTGCAGCTAAAATTCTTTAAATTGTGCCTGGTATCTGGGAAACCTCTTACAATCATGTGACCAAGCCAGTTCTCTTAACCACTCCATTTTCCTCTTTTTTTCATATTCATACGATCATCTTTTTCCCTTCCTCCAGGTAGGCAATGCTAATAGCCAAATGGCTGACTTCCTTGCTACAATTTTTTTTGTTCCAAGAGACTTCTTTTGAGGAAAATTGTAAGATGTACAAGTTATTTTTATTCTGCCCTTTCTATCAAAAAAACCAAAACAATGCAATTGTTTGCAGACAATATTTTATTCTCATGGATGGTTCTTTCAAATTAACTGCTTTCAGCATTCCAGACATTTTTAAAAACTGCTAGCTCCATTGAGGACTACTTCCAGGTTACCTTTAAAACAAAGCTAATACTTAAAACTGCATTTTAATTGTCTTATTAAAAGAAAGATTGTACAAGCTTAGTTGGGGGGAAAGGAGAATAGAAATTCAAGGCTTCTAGAGCAAAAACTAGAACAATAACACAAAAGTTTTATCCAACAGAAGATACAAGTTCAGTAGGCATAACCAGAATTATATGCAGAACAGAGTATTCAGATATTCTGTAATTAAGAAAGTATTGCAATGACCTAAAATTATTTCTTATCGGAGTACTTTACATAAATCCTTAACACTAGGATCATTTCCATAGTGCAATACTTGTACAAATAAAACATCAAGTGGTTGTGTTTATATGAAATTTCAAGGCAATTTTTCAAAGGTCACATACTTTGTAAAAGTAGTGGGGAAAACAAGCAGAAAAATACCCTTCAGATTGAAAAAATATAAGCTCACAGAATAAAAGATAGGTTCAGCTCAGTGCAATCTGGCTTCTAATGGCTTTCTACATTTCTAACTTGGCCTGTGTTCCTAGTGATGTCTTTAATAAACTGTGTTGACATCAAATGGCATGGGTGTGATATCATCATTGTTCAAATGATTTAATTACATACATGGGCTATGAGGTCTGAAGTAAGTTGTCAATTAGTTAATTGGGATTGGAAAATGTAATGTCACATGACTGTATCATCTTAATAATAGCTGTTCCGGCAATTTCAGTTCTTGTAGAACCCAATCTAGGTTGGTTACTGGAATCAGAGGTTTAGTCTCTGAGCTTTCAGACTTGTGCTGGAGAGCTTCTCTCTCACCAGAATGGGATACTGGGATACGTACACTTGCCTTCATTCATAAATTTCAGTTGTAACCATTAGGCAAATGCCATAGGTAATTTGGTGTAGCATCATGTGATTACCATGGACAATCTCCTGCCAGCTTTCCCATTGACTGTCAGAAGCTGACAGTGAAGGTTGCAAATGGCCAGCACATGACAGTGACAAGAGGCAAATCTCATAATTGTGAATTAGATTCTGTTAAGTGCTTAAATCAAAATAATGTAACTACAGAGATGTTGCAATGCAATTTCAAGGACTAGCCATAAGTCTCTTCATACAGTGTCATTGTAACTTTGAAAGGTTGCTGAACAAATGCCATTAACCAAGATGACATCATTAAGTACATGTTGTCATGTGCTTCCCAGGGTCCCCACAGCATACATATGTGCCCATTTTCTTATTCATCAGTTTATAATCCTACTTTTGCTCCATATCAAGATAATACATATAGCAGACTTTCATCTGTTCTTTTTTTTTAAATCCATAACAATCCTGTGTAGTTCGCTGAAAGGTAGTGGCTAGTTAAAGTTGTTCAGTAGTGATATTTGATAGCTGAAAATAGAACGTGAATATTTTCAATCTTAATTCACCATTTTAATAACTAATCTATTATCATAGCATTTTTCAAAGTTTTGTGCAGACTTTCCCCAATCTCCTAGATTTAAAACTGGCAGAATTCCTTCATTGGCTGAGAGTTCTGGAAGTTTTAATTCAATATGCCCAGATATAAGACTCGGGACAAACTGGCATATTATGGCAATATGGTAATTACTGAATTGTTCAATTATTTATGTATAAGAATTCTCCAATTTAAAATGTAAAACAATGTACAACAGATTGCCTTATCTCCAAGATGTCATAGAAACCCTTGCTTTTGATATTCCAAGAGTGCTGGTAGAAGTTGTGGGTCACTGCTTTTGTTCTCAAAACAATGGTCGCTAGGGACCATTACTGAGCAGGAAATGGAGTAAAGGCCTGAAAATAACTTTGCAGCAAGAGACTTCATTTTGGACATTTAAAAGCTATGATCAAACAGAAGGAAAATATTTGTCAAATGGATAAGACACTGTATCTATTCTTAATATAGGAAATATTTTCGTTAATCATAAATCCACTATAGACAATTTTAAGACACCTTTCTGCCTGAAGTCATGAGTCGCAGCCTTTCATCTTTCTTCCCAGTTTTCACTGCTGCCATTTTGATGGTCTAGTAATTGTCCTTCCTAATCCTGAGGATAAATTAACTTTTCTTACTCACATCAACTGGAGACAGATTAACTTCCTGAAGTCTGTAATGCCTTCAATGGAAAGTATTGACTGTTAGTGATTCATGGGTACAACCTTTATTAGCAAAAGATAAAACATTAGTTGAATATTATTTTACAGTCAAATAACTCCTTCCACTGCTACATGTAAAACAGTTTCTTTGAAAGAGATAATGATTGTATTTTTAGCAGCTTGTAGTAAAATCGCATCCTTCTTCCAGAAAAGTCATATATCATCAAACAAGTCTTCAGGGTCACCTGTGCTTTTCTCTTCCTCTGCCTTTTTCAAGGTCAGCTCCCTCTCCATTGATTTTGATGGAGCAGAATGTAGTCTAAAATTCAAGACATATGAAATAAATTTATGCTTGTTACTTTAAATAAAATTAAATGCAGGCACAACACTGTAAAACATATTACATATACTCTATGTAGTCTTTATTCAGATTTGGGAGAGAAAGAATATTTTTCAAAGATGCTTTTAAACTATAGAACTGGATAGTCTCACTTTTGCACTTAGTATATTGTCTTAATTCCAAATATATATAAAATAACAATTTAACCAATGAAGTAAATCGTAATGTGGAGGTGTTTTAAACTTTCCCATATGCAACTGATAATATTTTCAACTGTTTTGATAGTTGAAATATAGCATAAATCACATTTCACATTTCCCTGGCTTTATATTCTGTATATCCAGTAAGCAGTTCTTTCCCTTTTAAAAAAAACCAAAACAGTATCCAGGCATTAAATTTTTTTGCGTATCCTTCTTAGCAAGTGGCAGAACCTAGTCATTCTTAACTGTTCTCAAAACTGTAAAAAGGTCAGACCTGGTTAGACCACCAAAAAAGAATTAGGGTTAGCCATTTTCTTTTAACAACTGATATAGTTATTTATCTGGCATTACATCTGAATGATTTCTGAATTCAAGCATATAATATACAGTGAAGCCTTGTGTCGCGACCATAATCCGTTCCCAGACTCCTGGCATGACTTGATTTGGTCATGTCAGGACTCATGACCAACTGTGCATGCGCAGTAAAAAAAATAGCACTGAAGGAGAAATCAGCACAGAAAGGAAATCTTTTCGTGGCAATTTTGTTTGCCACCCGATTTTTGAATTGTGACCCGATTCAAAAATCGAGTGGATTTTTTGTTTGCCACCCAATTTGGTTACAAACAGGAGCGTTCGTGACCTGAGGTTCCATTGTACATGAAAAGATATCTCAAGCATTGTGCAAAAAGTATTTGAAATCCTGAAAGATTTTAATGAAATCTATTTAGTTCAAGGCATTAAATACTAAAGCCCCACTACATAATTCCCCATATTTAAACTAGGGGACAAGAGTAGCCTAAGACATCCATTCTTCGAAGGCAGCCTGTCCTGTCTTCTGCCATATCTCCCTCAGTACATCACCACATTAATGCAGTTCCTCTCCCGTCTACACCATTCTCTTGTATTCCATTCATTATCACAGTTGATGGCGAATGATTCTAGTACCACAATTCCTTATTAGTCAGTCACATTACATTCATTCCCGTGGCTGCTCTGATGTCACTACACAGCCACCAGCCTAACTATCCATAAAGAGCCATCAAATTTAACCCCTCTGAAACTCCTCCTCACAATCCCCAACCTCAAAGTTCCACTCAAGTCAAGTAAGGAGACGGCTTCCGCTGGAACTCCTGCTGGGGAGAGTGTTCCCCTGCCTGTCTCAAAAATGGCTGGAAACTGCAACCCTCCTAAGTTCAAATACTCTGAAGTGCTTTCACAACTTCACTTTCTCTTTCCATATTGGGCTGATGTTAAATTTATTGCTGATTTAAAATTAATGGGGCCAAAATGAAACCATGCCTGAATACACCTGCCTTCCAATGTCAATATAATTCCAAATATGGAAACATGTATGACTATGAATTACGCCCAAAACACAAAGAATGAAAACAAAATTTGCCTTGTTTTTACAGAAAGTAAGCTTTTTTAGGTATGAGGGGTTTTTTTTAAACTGAAATGAGCTACACAAACTGAAAATGCAAATATGAATATTTCAATAGAAAAATCACAGAATCCAATAACCAGCGTATGTGATATCTTAATATTAACAGGAATGAGGCTATGTAATAGATCAAAGTAAGTTAAATACTTCAAGTTTCTCTATTCTTAGCTAAGGGTCAACCCTTAAACCAGGGCTCTCTTAAACCAGAGACTTGCTGTACACTGACATCTCAGCCTGAAGAAGAAATTATGTGCCAGTTTCAATTATGATAATTTTGCATTTATTAAGATTAATAGGGTTAAATTGCCAAGATTTTACATAAGATCTACCTATGTGCACAATATTTGGTTTCTCAGCAACTTGTCATATCCATCAGTTACTGACACTTTTACTAGTCTTTTGTTCTTGAACTCCCCGTGTGGGATTTGAAAGGCTACATATTGTAGCATGGTTCAAGTATTATGAAATGTTTCCCTAGAAATTGTAAGAAATATTCAGAAAACCTTTTGGCATGGTTTTATTGGTTTCTCAATTTTAGTGTTTTATTAATTAATGGTGCATTGCATAAAAATAATGGAAATTGACAAGTGTTCTACCAAGAAATTCTCTGGGTTATAAAATGAGTATTTGATTCTATGCTGAGTTTTCAGATGCTAAGGAGTTTTGCTTCCAATCACTATGCAAAGCAACAATCTATATGCTTATTCATTGAGTGATACAAATTCTCACCAATAGTCCAAGTGATTGAAGTATTCTCCATATTCTTGGAATTTGATCATTATTCCCAGCCAGAAAGGTCAACTCTAAATCTAAACACATCTGGAGGGCACTAAATTTGGGGGTTGGGGGGGGAGAGACTGGACTAAAACATTATTTGCATATTTAGGTAGAACTCCAGGAATGAAAAAGTCAAATCTATTTTGCACAGCAACCTACTCCAACTGAAATTTTCAATCATTTTAATTCAGTTATTATACCTATTTTAATATATATTTATGTACCTGACAAAGGTAATTAGAACCACAGTTGATCCTAAATTTGGCTGCTGTTTTGTAGAAAAACTCAGAAAGACAAGTCTGGGATAAATTATCTCCACCTCATTCCACCCAATCTGGTCTCTGTGCTGATTTCATCCAATATGCAGCTCTGCATAGCCATGTTTCTGACTTTACTCATCTCAAATCAATAGTGACCCTAAGACACTTAGATTATCTAAACTAAGTTTGCTTGGAAGCAACAAGTGAGGACTCTATTTGGAAACTTTGGTAAAGTGATATATGCATTTTCTAATTGATGAAAAAGAACACATCCTCTGTTACATTCTCAATTATCTTCTCTTCTAGTATTAGTCATATCTAACAACCAATAAAAATAAAGAGACAGACTTCTTTCGTGTTACCATTTGCTCTCAATGTGGCTTCCACAGAGGAAAGATTCCAAAGCACTATTTATATTCTTTTTATGTACTGATTCCAGAAAGACAAGGCAACCTAATAAAATCTCATATCGTATTATTTGGCTGGGGCGAAAAAATGGAGAGCTCAATATCAAATGTTTCTAGGAGGGAACCATCTCTTGCCTTAGGAATAGCTCATATTCTGGGGAGGGGATGGTAGCGGAGTGGGAAAAATTGATCAACTCTGTAAAGTACAATGCATTAATTGGAAGTTCACCTAAAAAAACTCAACCAACCAACCAAAACCTGACATTTGTCTGTCCAAAAAGATTGATATGAGTCTTAGCGATCTGCTTCATGTGTCCAGGACAGAATAGCATGTTTTTGAAAAGATATCTGGTGATGCTGAAAACAAAGAGCCAGAGGAGAAGAGTTGCTCATTCATACTTTTTCTAAAAATTAGAGTATCACTAAAGTATCACAGGTATCCTCATCTGGCAGAAATGTTTGGTTAAAAAGAAAAAAGAAAGCACCTGCTTAACTCACAGCATCATTACACAGAAGGTGGCTGGAATTTCTAGATAAACACTTTCTCTAGGTGCCAATTTAGCAAAGCATGTGTAAATTCTAGACTGAAATTTAATAGTTTTCCAGTCTGGGATTAAAATAATATTGGGATTAGATGTAGAAACCCTCATACTTTTATGATATGTTTAGGTATGACTTTAAATAAACTAAACACTATCCAAATCAAACTTACTAATATGGTATCTACCTTTTATGTTTGCTGAACATAGGTGGTTAACCACACAAGTTTATTATTTTTAATTAGTGTCAATTAATTCAGCATTTACTTTATATAGCAACAGCATTTACTTTATTCAGCATTTACTTTATATAGCAATTCCCAAGTTAATTATCTTGGGAAAATTCCTGTTTCATTTTAATTATCTTTTTTCTGTTGTTGCTTATCTACCAGTGCAATAGAGATTATTGACAAATAGATTTTTCTTTCCCTCATGTATGTATTGCAAAGCTCCTTTTGAGTGAAGAGGATTCTCTGGAGTAGGGCGAATAAAGATACAGGAGAGAGAAAAGGAGAAGTTAAAACATGAGGCAGTTACACTAAATTTAACCCATTATTATTTATAGTTTGTTGCACAGTCAGCCAGTTGTTCAAGCTAGATTTGGCATTTTGTCCACCTAATGAGTATTATTATTTATTATCATCAAGCCTTTGATTCATTGTTAACTCCTGATGACTGCAGTTTTCTTGCCTATATTTTTGGAAGTGGTTTGCCAAAAAGTGATTGCCTCTTTCCAAAGGCTAAAAGTGACTGGGTGAAGAACTGATGGTCACCCAGTTTCTTGTCTAGAACCTTAACAACTACACCAAATTGAGTCTCTAAATGTACACTATCATTTAAAATTATAGACAAAGTTTACAAAGTTAGAATTAGAGACTTTAATGAAACGGATTAGCATTTGTCTTTGCACAATAGAAAAAAGGTGCTATGTATCAATATATCATTCTAAATGTAATAAAAATTGAGGTTATGAGATGTATATTTCAATGATAGTTTCTTAAGGTAATACGAATGAATTGAGAGTCAGTTTGCTGTAGTGGTTAAGACAATGGCATTTTAAATAGCTTAAATTTAAACTCTAAACTTCAGCAAACACTAACATTATTGTTGCGCTATTATCTCTCAGCTAAGACTGTTTACTGTATTCTGTTGGATCAGATGAAAAACTGATGCAGGAAAGGAATGCATTATTACCTTTTCATGCTTCCTTCCAATCAGTTAAATGTATTTTAGAGCCTCTGTTTGGTTTGGATGAAAAAATGGGCCTTGCTGAGAAATAAAAGAATGTTAGAATTGGAAGATCATAACCTGAAATTTGATTGGCAGGCTTTTTATGGTATGAAAAAAATTAATGT